TGGGCGCACGGGTGGGGCGACCGGTGGTGGGCCTCAGTCTGCGGCGTTTGCGGCGATCGCATGAGTAGGTCTTGAGTTGCAATATCTTGTTCTTGTAGTACCTGTCAGTGGATTCAATGGGTTATCATATGAGTGGTGAGCGCCTCAAGAGTGTCAGACATACGCCTGAATGGCTTCAATGCGTTGGATCTCTCGCGTGTGGTATCCGATGAGCGCCTCGTCCTCGGCATCGCTGGTGTGGTCATCAATGGTGCCACTGATCGGTGGCGTCTCCGCGGGAACCGCTAGTAAGCCATTCATATGGCGACCGATGAGCACCTCTTTGAGCAGCGATCGCGACTTCGGCCATCCCTTGCCTTTGCCGGACATGACGTCCACTTCACTCTCCATTCGCGTTGTCGTTGTGTTCAGTGAACACGACACTCATGAGTGTATGTCTTGTGCGGTGATTATGTCATTGTTGTGCCAATTGTTGTCGACATTCATCGACCGATCGATACAGCGAATCGTAATTTATGGACAAAACAAAAGTCAACTCCAATTGGAGGGCATTTGGGGAACCGCTGGACAACTGGTCAGAGAGTCAGGCGATGGACAGGCGTTAGAGAGTTGTTGTCATGAGTGGCTGTGAGGACAGTCAATCACTGGATCCGCTGTGAATGGCGTCTGTTTGGCATAACTCGACTCCGGGTTCCCTCTCTTGGCGTCTCCGACTCCGGTGTGTGTTGGCGGCCGTCGAGGCCATTGTGACCACCGATGGCCACGTCATTGTCAACGCAAAGGACGGATAGGGAGAGCGCGGCGGCGGTCGTCACTGCGGTCTTCGAGAGCACGCAATCGCGAGTCGTTTCCGAGCGACACGTTATTTACGAATCCATTATTTGGTTGTCATTTATGAACGCAAAACAAAACACTAATTCTTATGAATTGTTGTACGAATCGAACGCTAACTCTAACTGTAATCGTGCGGCGAGTCTACAGTCGACTCGCGATATAATGGACTCATCGGTGAACACAAACACATATACGAGTGACTCGTCGGACGAGTGGACGCCTGGAGTGTCGACTGACTCGCAGTTGTCGTCAGTATTGTTGCCATTCGTGAGAGCATTGGACGCATCGCTCGAGTCGTGTCTCTCATCACAGCAACGATTG